ATATATGATAGGGTCAATAAACTTGGTTATTTGAGTTTTCTTTAGCATTCTGTGCCAAGCTGAGTGAAGATACAGATAAAATGGGTAGCTGGCTTTATCGTAAGTTTTTACCAAGTGTATATGGTGAATAGTAAGAGTGGGGGATCTTTTCAAGGGAATAACTCAATATACACAGTGAAGTCTAGATGGGATTTCAAGCCAGGAACTAGTAGATGGAGAATGAAATAGAATTCAAGGTCTTTAACAAAAGTTATTTTACAATAAACATAACAGTGTGAACATTTAAGTTGAGGTTCTTAGAAAGGCACTGGAATATCAGAAATATGAGAAATATCGGAAAGTGAGTGACAGGTGGAGGCAGAGATTCATTGCTTTTTATGAGTAGCTCAAAAAGACAAGAGACCCTGAGCAGGGTCTCCAGGCAGGCCAGTGCAAGGCGGTGGTGATGCGTGCCTTCGCTGCAGGACCACGGTAGCGCACGCCTTTGATTCCAGCTCTCAGTGGCAGGCAGATCTCTTGAGTTTGAGGACAGCCTGCTCTACAGAGTGAGTTCCAGAACAGCCACCGCTCAACAGGGAACCCTGTCTCCAAAAACAAAAGCAAAACAACAGCACCACAGAAAGGTTTATCTCCTGGGATAGTGAGGTCTTGAGAGGATTGGCAGCTACTGTGGACAAAGAACAGCATCTCCAGGAAGAGCGGATCTAGAAGTTAGTGGAGGGCAGGGATGTTAAGGAGAGGTTGCTAGGAGTTGCCAGTCGTCCTAAAGGGGTGGCATGTTTGCAGGATGAGTTAGGGAGGCTCGGATATGAGCTTGTGAAGAATACAGTACCCCCATCATGTTTCTGGAGGATTTCATTTTCTTGATAGCAATTATCAGATTGTGAAAATCACAGGCTATCTAAGGATAGCTTTTTCAGAATTTCAGTCATACAATAATTAATGTCCTAGACATTTTCATGCAGAATAAATTAGGCCCTGTTTTTCAAAATTAACTTAGCACAACTGCTACCATTTTGCTGGAGGAACGTCAAGGAATCCTAAACTGAGAATCCTTAGGGGCTGGCTTAGTCACTGTTCCATTGCTGTGAAGAGACACCATGACCAATCTGACTCTTACAAAAGAAAGTTGGGGGTGTAGGAGGGAGGGCCCGCTTGTTCATCCCAGCTGCCTGGCTAGCTTAGCCCCGAAATAACCACACAGAAACTGTAGTAAGTAAAACACCGCTTGGCCCATTAGCTCTAACTTCTTATTGGCTAAGTCTTACACCTTCATTTAACCCATTTCTATTAATCTGTATGTGGCAGTGGCTTACTGGCTAAGTTTCAGGAGCATGTCTTACTCTGGTGGCGGATCCATGGCGTCTTTCTGACTCCCAGAATTCAGTTCCATCTTCCCCACCTACCTAAATTCTGCACTATCTACAGGCCAGGGGCAGTTTCTTTATTAACCAATGAAAGCAACACAAAGATAGAAAGACCTCCTACACCCTGGGGCTTGCTTACAGCTTCAGAGGTTTGTCCATTCTTACGTTATCTTTAACATGACAGGACACAGGCAGACATGGTATTGGAGAATTACCTGAGAATTATGTACCTTGTTCTTTAGGCAGAGAGAGGCTGGGTCTGGCAAGGGCTTTTGAAACCTCACCCACCCCACCCTACCCTGACTCCACCACCCCCACATACACACTTTCTCCAACAAGGCCACACTGATATGAGCCTATTCTTATTCAAACTACCACAAGGGCTTTGAGCTTACTGTTATTGCATTGCCTTACTGTGTTAATACTCCCTCAAGTATTAAATGCATCGGCCACATTAAATACCCATATGGAACTTGAGATCTCAAGGAGCCTGCATGCTACTTGAAATTCTTTGAACTGGAACTCCTGTAGTTGATATTAAATATAAGGTAATGATGTAACATTTTATGTTGCTTCAAGACTTACAAAGAGAGAAGTTTAACATTGGGAAAGATCATAGGAACCAGGTACAATTGCTTCCCATTTAACAAATATAATAGAGACAGACTGAGAATCAAGATGGATCCAGAAGCCTACACCAGTCCATTTACCTCAACAGCACAAAATTAAAGCTTGCTATAAATGGAATAATTTTATCAAGTACTTAATCTATATTACCTTCAAGTAAATTAAATAAAAATTTAGGGAAGATCAAGAATCTTTTAGCTGAAGTGCCTCTTGGGCCAGCATCGTGGACATCACCTGAGAGCTTAAGAAAGACAGAAACCAGAGTCTCCCAGGCT